AAAAAAAAAAAACATATAAAAAAAAAAACCAATGATGTAATGCATGGTGATTAACATAACATATTAAAATAAAATAACATTAAAAAAAAGCTGACTTCTCAAGGCTGGTGTTCTCTCGTCCTCCAACCCAGGGCTGCCACACCTACCCTTGTGGCCTTGATTCCCCCACCTGTCTCCAGCATCAACCACACCCTGAGACCTTCTGACGCATTCCTCTGGATGTCCCTTTAGCCCCTCACACCCACCGTGTTCCAAACAAGCCTCAATGTCTCCCCTCAGACCTGTTTGTTCCTCCCAGGTCCCTATCTCAGGGGCAGCCAACCATCCTTGTGCCTTTCCCCGGCCTTCTTTCTCCCAAGACTGTAAGGCCTACACAGGGCCTGTCCACTTGGCCTCCTGAGCATGACCTCCACTGTCCCTCTTCCCTTCCCTCGGCCCTGCCCAGCCCCATCATCTCCTGTTCTGTTCCTGCACCAGCCTCCCCTGTGCACCCAGCCTCAGTCTCCCCCTCTGGTCTACCTCCACACAGCAACTAAAGCCCAAACCTGACCACAGCCCTCTCCTACTCAAAATCCTTCCATGGCTCTCTAGTGCCTTCAAGAAAGAGGCCAAGTTCCCCAACTGGGTCATTTAAGGACACTTAAGATGCACCCATGTCCACCACTCCACCTTCCTTCCCCCCTTCACCCCATATTCCAATCACAATAAACCAGTTGCCGGAAGCTGACATCGACAGGCTTTCCTACCTCCAGGCACACACAGCTCCTTCTGCCTGGAATGCCTCCCGCACCCTTTCTTCCTCAATGTTATCAAGGTCTGCCTCAAATGCCCCATCCCTTCTGTAACTTCCATAGGGCCCATAGCAGTAAGCGCTATTTCTGACGTACCATCTGGGGAGGAGGCAAATCTGGAGGGGGCAGTAAGCAGAAAACCAGTCACCTCCTAGCTCTATGTCTGAGACCTTGTGCCTCAGTTTCCTCACCTGTGGAAAAGGGTGAGGATGTTATCCTCCTTGTAAGTAAACTACCCAGAACAACACCTGGCCCTGGCCAAAGAAAGCATCGCGGAATAACACGGCTGGCTCCGTGACATCATCTTTGAAGTAACTACGTTATTATAGCCATTTTACAGATGACGAAACTCAGAATCACAGAGGTGAAGTGACTGCCCGAGGACAGAGGCAGGACGCAGCTGAGCTGGGATCTGAGCCCAAGCAGGCTGGCTCCAGAGTCCAGCGTACCTTATGCAATTAGTCCTCAGGAAATAAGGACAGCTGTTACACTGGTGTCCCGGCTCAGGGCAGGGCCGTCCGTGCCATCCGGATCCAGGCTGGGTCCTGTCTCAGCTTCCTGCCTGCCAGGCTGCTGCAGAGGGTTCTGTCCCACAGGCCTACAACCGGGGCTCTCCATGCAGATCTCGCTCCCTAGAGACACTTGAGAAAAGTCAGGTCCACCTTCTTCCCCTGAGTTGTTACCCCTTCTTCCAGGATGCCCTCCCTGACCTTGCAGGCTGGACTGGGCACAGCCCTTGTGCCGCCTCCACCTCAGCCCTGCCCCCTCTGCCTGTGCTTTCTCGAACACACCACTGACCTCTCTGCCTCCTTCCCTGAAGTGCTGCCTATCCTGGGCTGCTGCTGGGTGGGGACAGGTCTGTCCTCCTCGATGGACCGGGAACCCAAGAGAGCCGGGCCCAGGGCCACCTCAACCACCACTGTGTCCCTCACGCTGCCCAGCCTGGGGCCGGCGCAAGGAGGGAATTTGGGATGCGTGAGTATATTCTTTCCACTTGACAGATGAGGAGATCAAAGCCCGGTCAGGGGCAGCCACTTGCCCAAAGTATGGTGACCCATTTCCGGGTGCCAGAAATGAGCTCTGAGCCCAGAGCCTGCTAGAATGGGCTGGTGAAGAGAGGCTGAGGGAGAGGCAGATGGAGTCAGTGAAAGAACGAGACGCAGAGAGCGAGAGGGAAAGCCAGAGAGCCCAGAGTGGGGGGAGTGAGAGAAGGGGCATGAGGGAGAAGAACAGGGCAGTGGTGGTGCCCCGTGGGGCGTGGGACAGGTACAACAAAGGACGGACAGCTGGTGGCAATGGCTCGCGAACCCCGTGGACCCCGCGAACACGGGCCTGTGCTCGAGGACAGTCCAGGATAGCAGCTCCAGTCACCGGGGGCCCCTCAGCCGCAGGCCAGCTCCCGCCGGCCTCAGGGCACCCGCCCCAGCTACCTGGGGATGGAGGCGTAGTCAGGGTGGGAGTCGGCGGCGAGCTGCTGGTGCGGTTCTGGCTGGGGGCCCACAATGTCCACCCGATCATCGTCAGCCTCGCTGACGCTGGCAGGACACGGACTGGGCAACAGGATGAGCTCCGTGAGGCCGTGAAGGTCAGACACACAGCGGAAACTCTGCAGCACGAGCATCATGACAACCAGGCCCAGGAAGAGGTAGGCTGCGGAGGAAGGCGGAGGGGCGATGGGTGGGCTCGGACCCGCAGGGCAGGGCTAGGCTCCCCCAACACACACCCCCCGAGACCCTCCAGGGTAAGGCTGTGCCCACACACACCCCCGCCCCGCCCCACCCCGCCGTTGGTCCCCGGCCGGCCACCTCCCCGCTCACCTGTGACCAGCACCTTGTAGAGGGCCCGGTAGGGCTGACCGGGGGCCTCTCCGGGCACATAGTCCCCCAGGCCGATGGTGGACAGGGAGATGAAGCAGAAGTAGAAGGCATCCAGGAAGCTCCAGGCCTCCTCCAGGTGGGCAAAGACAGCAGCCGGCACCAGGAAGCAGACGGTCACGACGCCGCCCAGCAGGGCCACCAGGTGCCAGCGAGCCGCCCGCCGGAGGTCCCAGCCCCAGCGCACGGTCAGCCAGGAGACGGGCGCGCGGGTCAGCAGCAGCGACAGGCGCTGGGCCAAGGAGGTCAGCAGCAGCATGGTGGCCGGCACGCCCAGGAGTGCGAAGGCAATGGAAAAGGCCTTGCCTGCATCAGTCAGCGGAGTTGTGTACCCGTAGCCTGCGCGAGCAAGGGGAAATCCTGCCGCGGCCGCCTGGCACCTCCACTGGGGCCAGGGGGGTATCTGTGGCCACCCTAAACGACATTTAATTTCACCCTGGAACCCGCCCCTCCCACAGCCTCTCATCCCCAGGGATGGCACCTCCGTCCCTCCACTGCGCAGGCCGCGAGCCTTATCATCCGTGATTCTCACACCCGAGTTCCACCTGCCAGTAAATCCCGTTGGCTCGAAGTTCATGTAGCTCCTAAAGCCGCTCCCTTCACCCCAGCCCAGCCCCACGGCCCCACCCCGGGCCTATCTAACGCAGGAGCCTCCTCCCTCCCTGGTCTCCCTTCTCCTCCCTCGCCCCCTGCCTCATCCCTGCACACAGCCAGAGGGACCCTACGAACACCTGAGTAAGGTCATGATCCTCCCACACTTAGAGCCCCTCTGTGGCTCCATCCCATTCAAAGTCATCATCATGACCCACAAGGCCCCGCGCGAAAGGCCCCGCGCGATCCAACAGGGCAGCATGCTCCCACCTCAGGGCCTTTGCACGGAGGGTTCCTTCCCTCCTGGAAAGCTCTCCCCCCAGGGCTGGTTCCCTCCCTCCCTTCCTTCAGGTCTTTGCCCAAATGTCAGTTTTTCAGTGGGGACTTTCCTCACTCCCTTACTAAATTGTTACACCCTCTGACCAAACTGTCTTTTTTTTTTTTTTTGGGTTTGTTTTCATAGCACTTCAACCTTCTGGTAAACCATGTGGTTTACTTATTTGGTTGGTGTCCGTCTCCTGACTAGGGCGCAGCTGCAGGACGGGAGAGGCTTCTGTCTGTTTGGGTCACTGCCGTAGCTCCAGCATCTGGCCCAGAGTGGGCACTTGATCGATAGTCAAAATAATGAATGAAGGGTGCCGGCTCTCCACTTAGCTTAGAGCCTCCGTGTCCCTTTCTCTAAAATGGGTGTGATAAGGCCCACTGGGGCAAATTCTGACACATGCTACAGCACGGATGAATCCTGAGGGCATTATGCTGAGTGAAACAAGCTAGTCACAAAAAGACAAATATTGCATGATTCCACGTGTCTGAGGTACCTAGAGTAGGCAAGTTCGTAGAAATAGAAACAGGAAGTAGAAAAGTAGAATGATGGTTATCAGGGACTATGTGCGGAGAGTGGGGAATGGGGAGATACTGTTTGATGGGTATAGTTTCAGTTTTTTCTTTCTCTCTCTCTCTTTTTTTAGAGATAGAGTGCGCACATGACGGGGGAGGGGGGGAGGGGCAGAGGGAGAGAGAAAAGCCCAAGCAGACTCCAAGCCCAGTGGAGCCAGACATAGGGTTCAATCTCATGACCCTGAGATCATGACCTGAGCTGAAATCAAGAGTCTGATGCTTAGCCGACTGAACCACCCAGGCGCCCCAGTTTTGTTTTTGTTTTTTCTTTTTTTAAGCGTGGAGCTTGAACTCACAACCCCGAGAGAAAGAATCGCATGCTTTACCGAATGAGCCAGGCAGGCACCCCTATACTTTCAGTTTTGCAAGATGAAAAGAGTTCTGGAGATGGATGGTGGTGATGGTTGTATAACAGTATGAATGTACTTAATACCACTAAACCATACACACAAAAATGGTTAAGATGGTAAATGTTGTTATGTATATGTTACCACAATTTTTAAAAATTGGGGTAGAAAAGAACCCTCTGGGTTTTTCTGGATCCCTAGAATAAAGATATTCCCTCCTCCCTTGCAGCTATGCATGACTCTGGAATAATTTCTGGTCAATGAGTTATACATGAGAGAAGTAAGCAACTTCTAGAAATTTTCCTTAAAAAGAGGAGGATGCCAGGGTGCCTGGGTGGCTCAGTTGGTTGGGCAACTGCCTTCAGCTCAGGTCATGATCTCGGAGTCCTGGGATTGAGCCCCGCATACAGCCCCGAGTTGGGCTCCCTGCTCAGCGGGGAGTCTGCTTCTCTCTCTCTCCCTCTGCCCCTCTCCCCCCGCTCATTCTCTCTCTCTCTCAAGTAAATGAAATCTTAAAAAAAAAAAAAAAAGATGGGGATGCCTATCCCCTTTCTTTCCTCCCTCCTCCTGCTGGCTGGAACACAAACATGAAGGCTGGACTTGAGCAGCCACCTTGGACCATGAGGTGACCTTGTGAATGGAAATTGCACAGAGGAGCACAGGGGTCTCTGACCATGCAGCACCATTCTGGTCTTGCTCTTGAATGTGAGCAAGAAATACACTTTCATCTATTTAAGCAACTGTTCTGTGAGATTTATCACTTATGGCTCCAACCCTCATTAATCACAAGGATTTGGATGGAGAAACTCCAGCAGCCCAGCTGAAATGACAGGTTTGCAAACGACACGAAAACCTTATAAACAGAAAACCATAGAGTTCACATAGAACGGAGGCTGTAAGCCTTCACTGACTACCTCTAAGAGCTGAGTCCCAGTCAGGGCTTTGCATTGGATTCCCTGCATGACCTTGGCCACGTGCCTTCTCCTCTCTGAGCCTCAGTTTGCCCCGAGTACCGCCAGCTGGGCTCATGAACAACCCCTTCCTCAAGTACGACTGCAGTAACCGTCCCTGGTTGGGACAGGGCATAGCACCGAGCAAGGGCATGGAAAAAGTTAGCGTGACTGTAATGCTCACTTCCCCTCTCCGGGTTCCCAGTTCCGGGTGGGCCAACCCTCCACCAAGGCCTCATCTGCAGCACGGCTGTCGGGTTGGAGTCTGGGCCCCAGGTCTTCCTCAGAAGACGCGGGCCTATGACAAAACCAGGGACGCTGTGGGAGAGGTCTCTCTGAATCACGTCTGGGTTTCTGCTTCTCTCGATACACTCAGGGCTCCCAGCTTCACCAACAATAATGACAACCTAGGCTCCGTAAACCTGTTATTACCAGCACTCTCCACTGACAAGGACTCCCTCCTTGACCAAATGTCAGTCGGGTTCCTCTGCCCTCTTGTCTTGACTAGGCCCAGTTTTAGCAGGGATCCTAAGCCACTATGGTAAGAATCCCCCTCCCCTCGGTGTCACCTCTTAGTCATTTTTCTATCCACTGACCCCTCACGCCACCCTCGGTTCTAAATCTCCAGCTGCCTTCGCTATATTCAGAGTTGAGGTCGGTCTCTCTCCCCTACTGCAAGAACTTATCATTTTTAACAAGCGTCAGAATAAACTTTTCTTCCCCACTACACACGCGTATCACCCTTCTTCGTGCAAGCCTAGCATGGGGTGCTGGTTAAAAGCATGGGACTCTGAGGCCTCTACATCTCCCTAGCTGTGTGGTCTTGGGCCAATGGTCCAACCTCTCTGGGCTTCGGTGTCTGTTGCTGAAAAAACAGGGCCGTGAATGGCACCTGCCTTGAAAGGCCAGTGTGCTGACCAGGTTAAAGGCCGTAGGCACCAAGTCCTCTACAGGTTTCATTGTTATTGTGATGTGGGGACTGTTTCGATCTCCATTTCCAGATGAGGGAGGACCCCGAGGCCCAGAGGAGTAGCAGCTGAGCAGAAAGCCAAACCCAGGATGTGCCTGCTTTGAGTTTGGCTTCTGCACCTGTCCTGGCTGGGATGACTTCTCAGAAGCCAGGATCTGGAAGGAGGCGGAGGGAGACACTGATGTGACCCAGTGAAGCCCAGGAGCAGGTCGGGCAGGCCCGCCCAGCTGGGTAGAACACAGTCTGCGAGAAGCAACCAGCCCCCTGCTGCCTGTAGTCTTGGTTTGCTGGTCCACACAATGGGGCACCAAAAGCTTGGTGGCCACCTGCTACTTGTGGCAGGAGGGGGAGTTAAGAGTCGGGCCGGTCCCAGCCTCCTCCCCCCGTCCAAATCCCCAGTAGAGGTGAAGAGGAAGTTTGGGGGCTTGGGAAGGGCAGTGGGAGGACCAGCAGAACATGATGACAAAGGAATTTTTCCAGGTCTGGGCGCTGAAGCAGGAAGGAACTTTCAGGGTTGGGCTGGGGGAGGGGTCAGTTCCACTTGGTGGAGGGGGGTGTTCAGAGAAGGGGAGTCAGTAATCTGAAACCGGAGGCCAGTGTCCTGGTTTGAAATGGATCCTGGTTTGGGGCTGAGGTCCTGAGTCCCAGGGAAGGAGGCGACAGGCACGGGTGGGGGCATCTTGTGGATCACGAATGGGATTGGGAGGGGAATCCTCAGCCAAGGGGGCTTCTGAGCCCACGGATGCTTGAGGGGGTGTGATGGGGGTAGACAATGCTGAAGGGATGATGGGAGGGGGCGGGTGTCCCTGGTCCTGGCTGAGAGTGTGAAGGGTGGAAAGAGGTCACAAGTGGCTACTGGGAAGGGTTCCAGGGTGCTGAGGGTCTGGAGTGTCCTTGACAGAGGGGAGAATTTCGGGTCCAAAGCCAAGGGGAGTAGTGTTGGGGTGGAGATGGAGGTCCCACTTGCGGGTCTGGAGAAGATAGGAGGGGTGTCAGGCCCCAGGAGATACCCATTCATAGGAAATCCAGGGTGGGCAGGGGGTCTCAGGAAAGGAGTAGCGGGTGCAGAGAGCAGAGTCTCTGGGCTGGCATCCTGTGGGGTGGGGGCTGTGAAGTGGGATTCTGCTCTCAACAACAGTGTGTGTGCAGTGGGCGCTAGGGTCCCTTCTAATAGAAGGTCCAGGTGGTTCTGGGGCTCCTACTGAGGGGTGTCAGGGTCCAGAGAGTGGTGAGAGTCTCATCTAGGGGTTCTTGGCTTCAAAGAGGCCTCCATGGAGAAGTCCCTGGTTTGGAAAGTGCTAGAAGTTTTGCTGGAGCTGGTTCTGGGACTGGAGAGGTGGAAGTCCTGGCTGAGGGGCTTCTGGTGGGAAAGTCAGTGGTCCTTCCTGGAGGGTGCTCTAGCTGCCTCCACGGCAGGTCCCTCTCACACATCCACCGTTGGGAGCGGCTGACTTGGAAGCCCCAGGTTCAGAGGGAATGGGGGTGGTCCTATTGGGAGGAACCCCCTGTCTTGAAGGCTCCCAGTACAGGGGAGATGTCAAGATGGAGGGGTCCTGTGTCTGCAGTCAGGGCTTGGGGAGTATGGGGCTACCTGCTTCGGAATATGAGGATGAAGGGTGGTCCTTGGTTGGTCCTTGGTCTGGAGGAGGATGGGGGGCCCTTGCTGGGCAGTGGTCTAGGTCCAGAGGGGTGGAAGTCACCCATCGGGGCCCCAGGTTCTTGTTGAGGGATCTGTACTGGCAGTAAAGTCTTTAGTGATGGTGCCCTGAGAGGGTGTGGAGATTCCGTGTCCTCACTGGGGCACCAGGGTCAGGAAGAGGCGGGGGTAGGACTTCCCAAGGGGCATCCCCGCAGAACATATCTGGAGACTCAGGAGACCTTGTGGAGGGAATGGCGGTCTCAGCCCAGAGAGAAGGGCAGAGGTCCCTGCCTGCCTGAGGTCCGGGTCCAGAGGGGGCGAGGGTCTCCGGAGGAGGGTCCCAGGTCTTCGCGGGAGGTCTCTGAAAGTAGTCTTGGGCCCGGAGGGGACTGCACGGGCACAGGTCTCCAAGGGGGTTCAGGCAGAGGAATGGGGTCCCAAACGCTCCCTGGAAGGTATCTGAGGGCAGCACTAGCCCCGGAGGGAACCGGGTTGGGGCATTCCTGCTGGGAGGAAGGGCTTGGATGGGGGTTCCCGGGGGGGGGGGCGGTCCTCGTTGGGGGTTTTCCAGCAGATCCTAGTCCCAGAGCGGACTGGGGGCGGTCCGCCGGGATAGGAGTGTTTCGCGATGACACGTACCCACGGTGGTGACCAGCGTGCTGGCGAAGAAGAGCGCCGAGGCAAAGTCCCAGGCGGGGTCCGAGGCGTTGGCGGGCCCCGAAGCGTTGGCGAGCGCGGCGCGCCCCAGCCGTCCGGCCGCCAGCACCCGCTCCACGAAGGCGTCCAGGGCGGGGGCGGCCACGCACGGGCTGCGCCGCAGCAGCTCCTCGCGCAGCGTCTCCAGCTCGGCCCGGAGGCGAGCTTCGTGCGGCCGCTCCAGCCGCGCCACCAGCAGCGCGCCCAGCACCAGGTAGACGGCGTACGCGGCCAGGGCGCCCGCCAGAAGTGCGCCCCGCCGCATGGCGTCCTCCGCGACCTGCTCTCCGCCGCCCCCGCCGCCCCGCTGACGTGGCCCCCCGCCTGCCGGCCGCCCGGAGCCCAGCCTCAGTTCCGGCCGTGCTCGAGGTGCGGCTGCCAGCGCCCCGAAGAGGAAGAGGGAAAAGGGGAGGGCCGGGGAGGGGGGGAACGCCCCGCCTCCGGTAAACTGAGGCACGCCCCCGCGGCAGGTGTTGAGCGCGGGGAGGGCGGAGCCCCGCGCTGCGGGACGCGGGACGCCAAAGAGGATGGAAAGGGTGGGGAGTTCCTCCATTCCTTCCATTCCTTCCCTCTGGTCCTCCCAGGAGTCTCGGCTCCCTATGTTAGAGAAAATCTGAACTCTTGTCCTCTGGCAGACCGAGAAGTCGCTCCCCAACTCCCCGGGGCCATCCTGAAGGTTGTGCACTGCCTCGGGGCGCGTGGCGGAGGGGACAAGGGGACAAACTGAAATCCGGTCCTTGCTCCGTTCGCCCAGTCCTGCGTTCTGGAGTGGGGTTGCTCCCGCGCGGAGGGGACGCCTGTATAATTCACAAGGAGAGGGGCGCCTGGGTGGCTCAGTGTGTTGGGCGCGCAGGACTCTTGGTTTGCGCTCAGGGAGTGATCTCGTGGGGTGTGGGATCCGCCTGGGTTGGACTCCACTCAGCCGGGCGTCTGCTTGAAGACTCTCTCCCCCTGCCCTTCCCCCCTACTCACAGGCGCACACATTCTCTCTTTCTAAAATAAATACATCTTTAAAAAAATAATTCAGAGTCTCTTAACTGTACAGAACAAAGTGAAGGTTGCTGGAGGGGAGGTGGGTGAAAGGATGGGGTAACTGGGTGATGAGTGTTAAGGAGGGCACTTGATGGAATGAGCACTGGGAATTACTAAGTTCTACCCCTAAATTAATAATACACTGTATGTTAACTAACTTGAATTTAAATAAAAATAATAATGATAATAATTCACAGTAAGGGACACCACAGAATCCCTCACGGACAGAGTGGGGATCCTTAGCTCCAATCTCTGCTCAGCGCCTACTTTGTGTCTGGCCCTTTGGTGGGGACACAGCTGTGACCCAGACAGTTCTAGACCTAGCCCGTGGGGGGCTCCCAGCACTTCAAGTTCTAGACCTTGGCCACGGGGGGCAGGGGGAGGGGACACCCAGAGTGGCAGCCCAGAGGGTCGGGGTGAGATGAGGGAAGCACAGACAGAGTGACTGGATCTGGGATGGGGGACACCGAAAGGACTGTGGATGGAGCCCCCAGGAACCCGGAGGAGATAACTGATCCAGCTTAGGGAGGTCAAGAGAGCTTCCTGAGGAAAGGGATGTCTGAGCTGAGACATTAAGGGAGAATAGGAGTGATCTGGGGTCTCTCTTCCTAGCAGAACCACAGTACACACCTCTATTTGGGGGGGGGTGTCCTCCCTGTTCCCTGTTTTTCTCCACATACCCCTCCAGAGGTAACTCAACACTCTAACGGCCATTGGAGGGCAGCCAGGAATCCCGACCACATCAGAATGGCAGAGGAGTGGGGCTTGGGGCCCAGCTCAGACACACCCCAGCTGGTTCTATTTATGAAGCTGTGACAGTTCTAGGGGCAGAGCCCAACTTGAGGCTGACAACCCACAGGAAGAGGCACTTGATAATACAAACAGCAACAGCAGCTGCCAGTGATCAAAGGCTTACGATATGTCAGGCCCTGTAGACACAGCGGTGTTGTTCGAATCCTCAAGCTCTCCTACATCATTCCCATTAAACAGATGAGAACATTTAGGCTAAAAAAGGGTCCAGTCACACAACTGGTAAGGAGTAAATATGAGGCCAGCAGGAAGCCAAAACGCTTGCTTTATTAATAAAATGCTGTGAATGTTACAAAATATTCACAGAAGAACTTAGGGAGAGCTGAGGATGAAAAAATGGTGGTGGAGCCCAAGGGATGGATGCTAAGTCAGGGGTGCAGAGGAGGAATAGGGGTACCTCAGTCATGAAAAAAGGACCGGGACTGACCCAGGACTCATAACTGAGAGACCAGAACAGTCCTCAAGGTCTCTAGAAAAGACAACATCTCAGAGGAGGAAAGGGAAAGCCACAGTGACAGGGTCACTAGCTGACATCCTTCCAGAGTGCTATCACTGCCCAGAAGTCGCTTCTACCATTATTTTTGCCTGAGATAAGCGGAGGGGACTGAGGGACAGAGAAGGGGAGAGAAAGGGGGACACTGAGGGTCAGAGAGAGACTAAGGAAACTTCATTTTTAGGGCTCCTCATTTGCAAGTGTGCCTGTGTGTGCTCTGTGTGGCTGGAGGTTGCAGAGTGGTTTCTGCAGACGGGGCAAGCCAGGAAGCAACGCAAGAGCGTTTTTATGACTCCTGGTTCTTCCTACCTAACTTATTGGGTGTCCTTTTCTCACTCTAAATACTCACTTTAATACCTAAGGTCTGCCGAAATTGTATAAGCGTTAGAGTCCGCACAACTCCGTTTAGCCCCCTCGAGAACACAAATGGATCTCTCCTCCCTCCGCTCCACACCCTTCCCTGGCTCCCCAGTGCCCTCAGCCACCCAAATTGAGCGCCTATAGGGAACTCCATTGCCCATCGGTCTCATCTCTCGATGCCTACATTTCCCATCATGCACGATACCGCTTGCTCCTAGCATTGTTCTAGGCCCCGCCCCCCTGTCCCAGTAGCGCAGACTCTCGCCTTCCGCCACCGGCCTCCAGTCCCCGCCTCTTGCCCACTGCCAACTCGTAAAGGCCTCCGCGAGGGGCGTGGCCTCTGAGCGATCGTGACGCCCATTGGCTGTCGCGTCGTCGGTGGGCCGTGCCTACGGGAGCCGGGCGGGCACATTTCGAACCGTGGCTGGGGCGGAGGCGGCGGCGGCAGCGGCGGCGGTGGTGGCGGTGGCTGCGACGGTGAAGGATGCACCCGGCAGGCTTGGCGGCGGCGGGGACGCCCCGGCAGCGTAAGTGGCGTACGTGGCCTGTCAAGGAGATCGGGGCGGGGGCGGGGGGTGGCTGGCGGGGGCGTGGCGGGGCCGCCGCGGCAGTTGGCGAGGTCGTTGTGGGTCGGAGGTCACGGGGTCAGGGAGCTGGAGCTTCGGGGCGTGCACAGCGCTGGGATGCCAGGTCCGGGTAGGGGGCGCGTTGGGCTCGAGCCATCTTCTCTTTAGGAAATTCCTTTGGAAGAAAACAACTTTGGGCAGGATATTGTGTGATGTGCAGGAGAACGGGACTTTCATTCATTTGCACTTCGCGATCAGCCTTCTCCCCACCCTTCGGTGGCCTCGGGCTGTCGCCCACGCCCCGCGGGACAGCGTTCAGAGCCCTTCGTGAGCTGAGAGGGCCGTGTTTACCTCTCATTTGAGATTTGAACCTGTGTATCTTATACTCTTCACCCCCTTTTCCCGTCTCTGTTAATTTGTATCTCTCTTTAAGTTCCTCTTCCTCTCCGCGAGTGTGCGTGCATCTCATTTATTCATTGAGCGTATCCTGCCTCGGCTCCAGTTGGGCCAGGCAGGCCCTGTGCTGGAATTTGGGTACCTGGTAGTAACCAGCCTAGCACTAGTCCTTGGTAACTTACAACTCAGAGTTCAACGGTGAGACAGACACTAAACTCGGAACAAACAAGTCCGCGAGAAAATCTGGGGAGTAATGAGGACTGTAAAGGGAAAAATCGCAGATGCCGGGGAGGTTCAGAGGCCTGATGTGCTCATTCCTCCCTTCGGCCATTAATAAGGTGCCTGGCTGGCCCTGTGGTGGGTGATGCTGGGGCTACCGCCCTCGTTCCTGTCCTCAGGGAGCTACCAGTACGGAGCAGAAGACAGGAGCAGTCTAGAGCGACGGGGGCCTGATGAGGGAAGCACAGGCGAAGGGGTCAGGACCGGGATGGAGGGATTGTGGTAGCCCAGATTAGGCATGTGACGCAGCCTGGGCGTGTCGGTGAAGCTTCCTGGAAGAGGTACATCTAATGATGAGGAATTTGCTCAGAGAAGGGCATTTGTGGTGAGAGGCCTGTGCCAAGTAAACAAATGGACAAGTGAATATTTAGCAAATGTGTTAAGTGCACAGAAGGGGAAAAGAACAACTGGATATTATGAGAAAGAACAAGGTGCTATGCTGGCAGGTGTTAATGATGGAAAGATGTTCCAGAGTGATAGCAGTGCATGTTCAAAAGCCTGTGTGGACTAGGTGCTTGGCAGAGTCAGGGCCCAAGAGGCCAGTGTGTGACTGGATGCAGTGAGCCCCAAAAGAGGTAGCAAACGAGGGTGGTTGGTAGGGCTGGGGTCTTGCAGGGCCTTGTAGGCATGTGGATTTTATTCCCAGCACTGTGGGTACTGATCATAGGCAGGGGACAGGAAATGTTCTCTTGTGCATTTAAAAAGATCATGCTGGCTGCTGACTGGAGAAAGGGTTGGAGCACATTGAAGTCAGGTTCAAGACCAGAAGGTCTGAAAGGGGAGGGTAAACATGGAGACATAGTGGGTGAGAACTGGCAATTAGTTGGTTGGGTGCCAGAAAGCAGGGGAGTCAGGGACTTGGACACTGGGGTGGGGGCACTGGTGGGAGCCGGCCAGACCTGGGTGTGGGGAGAGAAGTGGCGGCTGGAGACAGGGCCCACTGCCCAGGGCTGGGAAAGCTGTGGGCGGGTGAGATTGCTCTAGGTGAGAGGCAAAGCCAGAAGTGTGGGAAATTGGGCCACACGTTTCAGGGAGCTGAAAAAAAATCATGGGTGGAGAGGGACCAATCCGGAGACTGTCAGCTCTGTAAAGGCAGGAGTTTTTGTCTTTTTTTTTTAAGGTTTTATTTATTTGTCAGAGAGAGAGCGAGCCGTGTGAGCACAAGCAAGGGGAGCGGCAGGCAGAGGCAGAGGGAGAAGCAGACTCCCCGCTGAGCAGGGAGCCCGACGTGGGGCTCGATCCCAGGATCCTGGGATCATGACCTGGGCTGAAGGCAGACGCTTAACGAGCCAGCCAGCTGCCCCACAGCAGGAGTTTTTGTCTTTTTGATCTTTGCTCTATCTACCACGCCTGCAGCAGGGCCTAACACACAGGGGTGCTCAAGAGGTGTTTGTGGGGCTCTGGAAAGAGGAGGAGGAAGGGGCAGTGTCTCAAAGCCAAGAGAGCAGAGAGCTGGAGGCTGGCATTGGGGACAGGGGCATCACATGCTGCTCGAGTCGGATGACAGTGGCTAACGGCCTCAGACTGGCATTGTAGAGGGGCGTTTAGGAGGCCAGTGGGGGGCAGAACCCCAAATATCGAGGGCTAAAGGGGGGGCAACAGGGAGGAAGGAAGTGCTTGCACCAAAGCTCCCAGAAGTGGGAGAGGGGAAAGGCCAGTGAGCCTTGGGGCTAAGTGGGCTGGGGCCAGTGCCGCTGGCTTTGGGATTGAGCACACCTGGGTCTGTTTTCAGGTGACAAATAACTGAGAGGAACAGTCGAGGGACTAGTCATTGACAATAGGTGACAGGGATCGACAGGCCAGGGGCTGAGGAGTTTATGAGCGTCACTTGGCCTTGGGCCATGAACTGTCCCACAGAAGAGAGAATTGAGGTGCGGACAGAGTCAGGACGTGGATTATTTGGTTCCTCTCCCCCACCCGACTGTAACCCTGTCTCCCGTTCCCTGGGCCCACAGTGGCGCCTGGGACACAGGAGGAGCTCAGTAACTGTCTGCTGTGGTGTTAGGAGCAGGGGCCCCAGAGCCAGGGTGCTGGGCTCAAATCTGTCCTCTCCACATTCCCCTTCTCCTCCCTCGTCCTTACCCTACCCCCACTAAGCACGCCTCCAGCAGGTCCTGTCCCTCCAAACTCCGTCCAGAAGCAGCCCAGCCCCCTCCCCTCCATCCCTGTTTCTCCCCCACCCCTGGAGCAGCTCCCTCCCTCCTCCCCTCTTCCTGCCCCCCCCCCCACCATCGAGCAGGCACCTGGGCTACAGCCCTGCACGCAGGTCATTTCCCCTGTCCCGGCCTTGGTCACCACCTCTGTAACGTGGGGTGGGCCCTCATTTCTCAGAGTTTCATCAGCCCCCTACTCTAGCCTTCTGTCAGGGGCTGGGGATCCAGGCATGAACAAGACCAAGCTCCCCACCTGGGGGGCTCCCATTTTAGTGGGGAGACAGTGAACAAAATAAAGAAAGCAACCAGCCTGTCAGCTGGTGCAGAGTTCTGGATATAAGTGCAGCAGGAAACGGGGGTGGGGAGTGCTGCCCAGGACTGTGTGGTCGTAGACAGTGGTAGGGAAGGTACCGTAGAGCCAAGACCTCGAGGAGGGGAGGGAGCCATGGGGCAGGGGAAGGATTCAGGCAGAGAACAGCCAGTGCAAAGGCCCTGAGGTGGGAATGTGCCTGGCGTGTTTGCTGAACTTTGAAGCCCACGTGGCTGGAGCCAACCAGCGAGGGGAGCACGAAGGGGAGACGCTGACAGAGACTGTGTTTGTAAAAGGCTCAGGACAGGATCCTGTGCACAGTAGGCCCAGCACATAGTAGCTGTCGACGTTGCTGTGGTGATTGGATGGAGAGATGCCAGGCAGACAGAGCCGGGCCCGCACCTGCCTCGGCGCCCATCTGACCTCCAAACCAGTGCTTCGCTACAGCGGAAGGAGAGCCCTGCAGCCTGAACAAAGCTCCCCTTCCTCTTCCCCTGCAGCGTCCAAGCGGAGGATCCCGGTGTCCCAGCCGGGCATGGCCGACCCCCACCAGCTCTTCGATGACACGAGTTCGGCCCAGAGCCGGGGCTACGGGGCCCAGCGGGCACCCGGCGGCCTGGGCTACCCTGCGCCTTCTGCCTCGCCCCAGGCTGCCTTCCTGGCGGATCCTGTGTCCAACATGGCCATGGCCTACGGGAGCAGCCTGGCCGCCCAGGGCAAGGAGCTGGTAGATAAGAATGTGAGTGGGCGGGGTGGCTGGGTGTGTGTGGGGGGGCGGTGGGGACGTGAGGCCAGGGCTTCAGGCTTGGGCTCTGCCTCCCCCCAGATTGACCGCTTCATCCCCGTCACCAAGCTCAAGTACTACTTTGCTGTGGACACCATGTATGTGGGCAAAAAGCTGGGCCTGCTCTTCTTCCCCTACCTGCACCAGGTCAGCACTGCGCCCACTGAGGGGAGCACTGTCTGAGGAGGGGCAAAGTCTGGGGGGGGCGGGTGGAGGGGTGGGGATAGAGGGTGAGTCAGAAGCCGGGCAGGTGTGAGGGGCAGGGGCGGGGGTGGGTAGGTTTGCCCCAAGAGAGGGCCTGGAAGCAGTGTGGGAGAAGCCCACTCTGGGGGTCCCACGCCTGCTCCCCTCACTCTCCCCACAGGACTGGGAAGTGCAGTACCAGCAGGACACACCAGTGGCCCCCCGCTTTGACATCAACGCTCCTGACCTCTACATTCCAGGTCTCCCCCTCCCCGTCACCGCCCCGCACCCTCCTCCCTCTGGGTGGGCACGTCTAGGGCAGAGGGTTAGGTGCCTAGTGGCCCAGGATGGTCCATCTTCCTCTGACCAGTGTCTGTGTGTCTGCCTCCCACAGCTATGGCTTTCATCACTTATGTCTTGGTGGCTGGCCTGGCGCTGGGGACCCAGGATAGGTAAGGGAGGCCTGGAATAGGCAAAGTGGGGTGAGGTTTGGGGGGCGGAGGGGCAGTCAGGAAGGTCTCTTGGATCTCCTGTCTCGGAGCAGCCCCACCGTGCTCCCAGTTGGCCCAGGACAGAGCCCTTGGGGTCACGGTCAGCGTCACCCTCACCTCTCCCCTTGCTCTCCACCCACATGCAGCCCATCACCACACCTGTGGCAGGTGACTCTAACTCCATCCTTCTTCTTAGCCTCCACCACCAGATCCGGCCCATCCTCACTGCCTCCTAACCAGCTGCCTTGCTCACATACCCTCTGCACCCTGACTCCCAACCGCAGCCAGGAAGATCTGGTCTGAGATGTGGGTCTGGCCATGTCCACCCTGCTAGAAGCTGCCCAGGGCTCTCCCGTCCCCAGATCCAGATCCAGCCCTGGCTCCTTAGTCTCGCACACCTCACTGCCTCCGCGCAGCCTCTCTCTGCCCCTCCTCCTCACTCTGCTTCGCCACACTAGGCCTCTTTCCATCCTCCAGAGGGCCTGGTGCCACCCGCCGCCACCCCAGGGCCTTTGCACATCCAGTGCCCTTTGCTCAGGAGTATGTTCCTCCCCTGTATCACCTGCTGAGCACCTGCTCACCTGCGATGTCTCCACTCTGGTATCACTTACTCAGGGAAGCCTTCCCACCCTCCAACTGGGTCAAGCCCCCCACGTCTCACTCCTACGCTCCAGTTTCTTTCTTTTGTGGCATCGAAAACGATTCTCATGAGAATCAGTTCATTGTTGGGGCACTGGGGATATGGCAGAGGCCGTGGTCCTTCTTTGCAAGTCAACTCCTTATTCCTTCAGGCCTCGGCTCAGATGCCCTCTTTGGAGAGCCCTCTCTGACACCTTTTCCCGACTGGGTCAGGCACCTTCCCTGCCCTGCGCTCCCCTCATCCCAGCCCTGACCTCTCGGGGCCATCACTGAGGACAGGTCTGCCTTTCCTGGCATGAGATTTCCATGAGGACAGGGTCCAGATCCATCTTGGTCACTGGAGTCTCTAGCCCCACCCAACACAGGTGTCCCCAGGTGGATGCTCTGGGAGGGTGTGAGCCGGCCATCGGAGTGACAGCTTGGTGCCGGCAGGTTCTCCCCAGACCTCCTCGGGCTGCAGGCAAGCTCTGCGTTGGCCTGGCTGACCTTGGAGGTGCTGGCCATCCTGCTCAGTCTCTACCTGGTCACTGTTAACACTGACCTCACCACTCTCGATCTGGTGGCCTTCTTGGGCTACAAATATGTTGGGTGAGTACCCCATTCCTTCCCCCCCCCCCCTCCAGCCCCAGCCCCGAGGCCTCTTCCTCAGACCAGCCTTCCCCTCTCTTCCCAGGATGATTGGCGGGGTCCTTATGGGCTTGCTCTTTGGGAAGATTGGCTACTACCTGGTGCTGGGCTGGTGCTGCGTGTCTATCTTTGTGTTCATGGTGAGCTGGGGCTCAGGGGAGGATGAGGCTTGAGGGCACAAGCCCTCAGAGTCGGGGTACCCTGGAGGCATCCAAACAGAGGATGTCAGGGGAGGAGTTGAGATGAGAGCCACGTTGCTGAACTGAGGAGCCTTAAAGTAGTTGTCCCAGCCTGGGGTTCAGGAGGGCTTCCTGGAAGAGGGGGTGTCTAAGCTGGGGCTGGAAGGAAGAGAAGGAGTCAGCTGGGCTGTTGGGGTAGGCTCTCACCCTCACCCCACTCTTCCATGGTGGGCTTTCCTGCCAGAATTTCTGTGAGGATGAAAAAAGTTTTGGTACCCCTGGAAGTAGCTTCTCTGGGTCCCCAGCAAATCCCTTCCTCTCTTTAAACCTGCTTCCCCTTTTGTAAAAAAGGGGGATGATGATAAACGCACCTCAGGGTCCTGGGCAGAGGCAGTGTGAGCATATGTGAGGAGCAGAGGGCAAAAACTGGTTGGCCAAACCGGACCCTCAGATACACTTTGACTTAGATGTCATTTAAAAGTTAAAAAAAAAATCCTTTCTGGCTTGTGTTGAAAACTGTCATCGGCCCTCATAAGCGGGGTGACAGCGGCCCGGCTGAGCCTGCCACCTTCCGCAGGCACCCTCCCCAGGCAGGGTATGCAGCTCTGCATCTCATTCAGGGGCCTCGCCTGCTGCCTGAGCTTGCAACCCTCACATTTGCTCCCAAGCCTTGGGGCGGAGCAAGTCCTCACCATCTATTAAAGGAGATGTGGGGAGAACCTAGGCTCCCCTGGAGCAGAGATACTTGAGCCCAGCCGCCCCGGAGGAGGGAGAGAGGCAGGGCTTGGAAGTACATCCAGGCACCCGCGCCCGGCCCGGGACTCAAGGGTGCACCCCCTCCCGTCCCAGATCCGGACGCTGCGGCTGAAGATCCTGGCGGAGGCAGCGGCCGAGGGCGTCCCGGTGCGCGGGGCCCGGAACCAGCTGCGCATGTACCTGACCATGGCCGTGGCGGCGGCGCAGCCCCTGCTCATGTACTGGCTCACCTTCCACCTGGTGCGGTGAGGGCGGCCCGGCCCGCGCCGCCAGCTGCTGCTCCGCGCGGCCGCCGCCGCCCCTCCGCCCGCCCGCGGGGACACCGGCGCCGCCCCGATCCCGAGACGCCACCCCCCACCCCCTCCGGGCCGAGGTGCTGACATGTCCAGCTGCACCGGCCGCCCCGCAGAGCGGCCGCTGTTCCGGAAACAATAAACCGTGATGGGCACGGCGTAGGCAGCTTGTGCTTGGCGCGGCCGCCCGGCAGGGGGCAGGCCCAGCCCGGGAAGGGGGATGGGTGGGGCGGGGCCGGTGCCCCACTTCGCGACCAGAAGGCGACCAGAGAGTCGAGAGAAGATTTAATGAGCCTCGCCCGGCCCGTCAGTGAGGAGCCTCCTTCTTCGCCTTGCCTTTCTTCTCCTTTTTCGCCTTGGGCTTCTTGACCTTGGCCGGCGTGTTCTTGTGCCCTTCGGAGGCGGCAGCGGGAGGCTGTGGGGCCGAGGGCGGAGGGGAGGGAAGGGGAGAGCGAGGGGTCTGCCGCTGAGACGATTGCCCCGGGCTCTCCCCTCACCTGGGGCGGCTGCTTGCGGGGAGCCTCTTACCTTTGCTTCCATGTCCGAGTCGCTGGAGCTGTCGCTGGAGCTGTCGCTGGAGCTGTCGCTGCTGGAGTCTGAGGAGCTGCGGTGACCGCCACCCTGCTCGTTGGAGGCGAGGCAGTGAGGGCCGGACCCCTGACCCAGCCCCCGCCCTAAGTTGGAAGCCCCAGGCTCGGCGGGGCCCTGGGTTCAAAGGCCTACCCCCCACCCACCCCCCGATACCGGGAGGGATGTGCGGGCTCCTGAGGTGACTTACCCTCGGCTTATCAGGCGCCCCCGCCTCTGACGCGGCCCGAACTTTGTGGGGGCTGTGTTTGTGGTCTCCCACTTGGCCCGTCCCCTGGGGCTCCTTGGAGTCGACGGCTGTGGAGAAAAGTTGGGTGGGTTGGTGCAGGTGCAGCGCGTGCGCCCTTGGAGGTTTCTGGGTTTTAGCCTGGCCTCCTGTGCCTCAAGAGCCCCACTTCCCAGGAGCGCACCTGCGGCCAGGTCGAACTCCATGGTGGTGAGAGAAGGTCTGTGGGGAGGACCGCAAGGGCCCGGAGGGCAGGGGGAGGGCCTGGGGAGGGGCAGTGGGAACCGCCTGCCCAAGGACTTTGGAGGAGCCCCACCCAACGTGGCTCAGAGTCCTTAGCCTTGACTCATAGCCCCTCCCCAGCACCACCCAACTTTTCTTCTTGGGAAATGGGGTGGGTGGACAGTTGATTGCTAAATTTCCACCCGGTGAGCCTTGGCAAGTGAGGGGGGAATGTGTGGGCAGCTGTAGATTTCTGGGGGGAGGGCTGGAGCTGTCACCGCTTCCCCCAGAAGGGTCAGATGCCTGCTTCTGAAGAAATGAGAGGGAGGCTGTCTCCCTGTGCCCTGTGCACATCATAACGCCAGCACTCCGTGTACTCACTGCGGGCCTGGCGCTGTTCCAAAGGGCTCATGCACATTAGCTCGCTTTAACAACCCCTGGATGGCTGCGTGAGAAGCAGTGTCTGAAGGGGCGAAGAGCGTGAACTTGGAATCCACCTCCTGAATTTGAAGACCCACTCAGTAGTGGGGTGAGCTCAGGAAAGTCACTCTGCCTCTCTATGCGTGTTTCTTCATCTGTACATGGCAGTCTCCATATGGGGTTGTTGTCATGGATTAGTTTCTAGAACTGTGCCTGGCACAGACTACGTGCTTGTTAAGATAATGTTTTGGCTTTTTTAATTAGAAGAAATGTATTGTTACTATCCCTATTTTACAGATGAGAACACTGAGGGACCAAACAAGTAAGATGCCATGGGGCCAATGTAGTATGAATGGCTAGGGCTGGGATTCACACCCACACAGTGTGGCTCAAGTCCAAGGCCCTGGCCCCTCTGGCTCTCCCTGGAGGGTGCTCAGGGGAAGGGGCTCCCCATGCCTGGCTGGGCCAGTCAGGCTGCTGGGGACTGGGGGGGCGGGGCGCTGAGCCATCTGCTCCCCTTGCTGTGTGGCCAAGTGTCCTTGCAAGTCTGTCCCCGGCCAGCCTTGCCACCAGCAGCTGGGTCACCACACATGCAGGAGCAGGCAGGCAGGAGTGGTGGCTGGGGCCTGGCCTGGGCATGGTGATGACCGCGTGCCCTCAGGTCTCTGCTCCAAAGCACATTCCTCGGAGAGGCCTGCCCTGACTGCTGGCTCCCCACTGCCCGTCAAGGCAACCTCTTTCCCCTGCTTGATGACCAGCTTAGCCCTTAAAGATAATAAGTTATCTTCATCATCAATTCCTTCGGCATATATTTGTTGAGTACCTACTATGTGCCCGGCACAGTTCAGTTGATGGGGATACAGAGGTTAACAAAACCAGCAAAAATCCCGGCCTCACGGGACTGACATTCTAGTGGGGGAAACGAGGTGTAAAATGTACAGAATGTTAGAAAACGACTGGAAGCGAAGATGTCCCATCAGTTGGTAAGTGGATAGACAAAATGTGAATATATAATGGGACGCTACTCTGCCATACAAAGGAATGGACATTGCATCATGCATGAACCTCAAAAACATTCTGCTAGGTGAAAGAAGCCAGACCCGAAAGACTGCATGCTGTAGGAAAGCGTTCATGTCAAGTGTTCAGAGAAGAATTATTGAGGCAGCAGGTTAAGGGGTGCTGGGAGCTGCATGGGGAATAGGGATTAACTGTAATTGAGCGTAAGAGATCTAATTGTGGGGGATGAAAACACGCTTGAAAACTGATTTATGCTGAAAATTGCACCACTTGGTAAAAATTATTAAGAACTGGGGCGCCTGGGTAGTGCAGTCAGTTAAGTATCCTACTCTTGGTTTCGGCTCAGGTTGTGACTTCTGTGTGGTGGGATCGAGCCCCGTGTTGGGCTCCACGCTCAGCAAGGAGTCTGCTTAAGATTCTCTCTCCCTCTCCCTTTGCCCCTCCCCCAACCTCTAAAAATAAATCTTTTTTAATTATTAGAAACCCCTGAAGTGTACGTTTCAAATGGGTTTTATGTAACTTATGCCTCAATAAAAGCTGATTTTAAAAAGTAATATGTGCTAAGAAGAGAAATATAGCAAGAAAGGGAGCTAGGTAATAACTACATGGTATGTTGGGGAGAGGTTGGATTTTAGGTAAGAGTTACCAGGGAAAGCTTCAGGCAAGTCTTTTTTGAAAAAAGATCTGAAGATGAGGGGCGCCTGGGTGGCTCAGTCGGTTGGGCATCTGCCTTTGGTTGTGATCTCAGAGTCCCGGGATCCGGCCCCACGTCAGGCTCCCTGCTCAGCGGGGAGTCTGCTTCTCCCTCTCCCTCTGCCACTCTCCCCTCTTGTGCGCGCTCTCTCTCTCTCTCAAATAAATACAATCTTTAAAAAAGAAAGATTGTCTTTTAAAAATCTGAAGATGAGGAGATAAACCATGCAAACACATGGAGGAAGTGTTCTAGGCAGTGGGAATAGCAAGTGCAAAGGTCCTGAGGCAAGAATGTACCTGAGTGATGAAGAACTGCAGGAACTTCAGAGTGGCAGTGAGAATGGAGGGAAAGACAGGAGAGGAGGAAGGATGGGAGGGGTGGAGGAGTAGAGGACTTGTACATCAAAGACCTTTGATCTTTACTCTGAATAAGAAGAGGTGGTGAATGATGATTGTGGCTTTACCCACAAGTGGATGCAGGATATAAGTGTTTTTCCAAGCAAAACAAATTCCATGAGGGTTAGGGACCTCATCTGCTTTGCTCAGCACCCAGAACAGTGTGACTCAGAATTTGGTGCTATCATTTGGTGAGTTAGTGAGGTTACCTGATGCCAGGCCCTCTGCTAATGTAACGGCAGGTTAGAGCAAGCACAGAGTGGCTAAGAGTTTGGGTTGTGGAGGTCAGTCTGCTCACAGGTGAATCCTCACTCTACCTCTTACTGCTCTGTGGATAAATAAGTCAACCAGTCTGCACCGCAGTTCTGTCCTCTATAAAGTGGAAGACTTAGCTCATAAAGTGACGGTTGTGTCTGGAGCCTGCCTGGCACAAGGTAAATAGATGCTCAGCAAATGTGAGTTTTTTATTCACGAACACGATCTCATATGCTTACTTGTGAACCTGGCAGTTAAGATCCCATGTTGTATATGAGGCAGTTGAGCCTCAAAAAGTTGGTTTCGTGCCCAAGGACACTGGGCTAATAGGTTGCAGATCGGTAGCGGGAGGCCTTCTAGACCCAAGAGGAAGTAGCTCTTTACTAATTGGCTAAGATTGTGGGGAGGGTGAATGGGCCCGGGGAAGAGCACGGCCTGATCCTCCAAATTCCCCTCTATTCACTCCTGTATCATAGTTAGGATGTGGCCACTTTCACAGAGACCAGAAAGAGCCTTAACAAGATAGCTCCACTTTTTTCTCCCCTAAACACCCAGGGACCCGGGCTCCTAACTGGTAGCTCTGCATCCTTCCCAGGTGTTGCCCTGAACAGAGAGGGAAGCTGGCCTCCACCATCGGATTCGAGGGAAGGGAAAAGGCAAGGAGAGGGCACACCAATTCCTTCTAAGGACTGCACCTGGAAGCAGCACCTGTCCCTTTGGCCAGGTCAGACACACGGTCACATCTAGCAGCAGGGGAGGCTAGGAGAATACAGCTCCGAGCTGGGCGGCCGCGTACCCAGTGAAAACCTGGGGACTTTACTGAAAGGAAGGGGAAATGGACGTGGGAGCCTGTCGGTCACTACTCCCTCTTGGTGGCAGTGAATATACCCTCAATTCCCTTGCTCTAACCCAGAAGACTTACAAATGAAGGCCAGATTAAAGCTGGGAAGGTGAACCCAAATGCTTGATGAAAAGCAGGTGTGAGGGCCTAAGATGAGCACGTCCAGCCTTCTGCTCTTCGGAAAAGAGCCCCTGCCCTCAGTAGTCCCCTAGCCAGCTACTAGGGGCAGGGATAGTAGCTTACGTCCCTCCCCAGGCCCAGCCTGCCCCTGACCTCTAACAGCTCTGTCCTCCTCTGCTTGTTTCCTCCTTATTTCTGCCTAACATGACTCAGTCCTAAGGGTGTAAGCAATGCCTTCTCCTTTGTAGGAAAAAGGGACTTGTGTTCCCACCTGGCCTGTGATGCTGCCATTCACTACTAGCTCAGCTTCCCTTTCTCTAGCATTTCACCAGCAGACACTCTTTGGAGGCTCACCCCGACCCTGAAGTTTGTACTTAGTCACTGCAATTTAGGAAGAGATTGCTGGATGCCAACTTCAGTGGCCAGGGAAGCCAAGGTGGGGTAGGACAGAGCAGTGGGCCACTGGGACACGGTCCTCCATGGGCATGCTGCACTCCTACACATCTGAGGACTGACATGGCTCCCTGGAAAAGCAACTTGCTCAAGGCCTGCTTTCGTCTCTTGCCTGAAGTTTACACGAACGGAGTGCCCTGGTCCCATAAACATCATAATCCCTGGACTGGAATGTTTTCTTTGAACTTAACCACATCCTAGGAGATGGATGACTTTTAAGCACACAGTACGTAGGGACTCAGTTTCCTTTCCCACAGGACCGAAGTGCTGCCCTGGCCCTGGACATTCTGGAACACTAATGATCAGAACATCTTGACGGACCACCCTTTGGGATGGGCCAAGGGGCGGACAGCCCGGCTGTGGAAAGCCAAGCTTGGCCACCACCCTGCTGACTGTTGTGTGCGGGATTTGCTTTCACTCTATTTGCAAGCTAACAAGTTAGCTGGTAACTTTTCAAAATGCTGGCAAAGGCCTCAAGATTCCCGGGTCAGAGACAAAAAGCTTATTACTTGCAGCAAGCACCGGGAGCATCAGCGTGTGGTTTTCTTGGCCCCGTGAGCTGGGGAACCTGCCACTTGCCGGTAAGCAGCAGGCAAGCCTGTGTGTCCTAGAGGGAGCCATTCTCTCGTCCCTCAAGGCGCTCGCTGCAGGCCCAACCTGAGAACCGGCCCAGGTGAACAGCTGTCAGGCTCACACATTCCTGGCACGCCCAGGAAGCCTTGTAGCAGCGTGACAGACCCCCGCTGGAGGGCTGTCTCTGCCAACAATCCACCCCTCCTGGTGAATTTTCACACAAATAGGCCACTCTGATTAATCTAACAGCCCGAGAGCGAATTCATTCCGTTTCTCTCACACAGCGTTTAATTAAAGCGACCTAGGAACAGGACTCCAAGAAGCAGCGAGTCCTGCGGATAGGCCAACCCGCCGTCCAGGTCCCGGAGCTTTCCAGCCGTGAAGGAGCGGGCATACTTCAGCCAGCCAGGATGTAGTCGGAGACTAGGAGACTAGTCTATCACCCATTAGGACCCACACCAGGGACTTCAGACTCACCTGCAGCTCTTTGGTGTCGTGACCAACAATGACAAGGCCCCAAAGCAACCCTCACGCGCACTGGGGAGACACCGTGGCTCATTCCGTCCCACGTGCAAACACACGGAATGCTGGGGCACAGGGCGCTCCAGCTGAGGACCTACTAAGCCTGACGCTGACCACCGCCACAGGGCGGTGCCACCGACTGGTCGCAGCCCCAACCACTCTCCGGGGCACAGCCCTGGCGCTGCTTGGGCGTCAAAAGTGTGACTTTGTTATTTTGTTCATCAGCCAGGGTGGAACAAGGCCGTGCAGGTCCACGTTTGTGTCTAGGGTGGGGCCCACATTCAAGCTCTGCTGCTGCTGGCGCCAGGCACGGCACAATCATCCAGGACGGGCCACGTCGCCAGGTACGGGGTGCAGCGGACCAGATGCCTGGCAGGTTGTGGTGTTGGATCCAGAGGACGGAGCACTGGTTGCACCTCCTACCGTCCCGGATCTGAGGGGTTCCCCCCCACCCCAGGACTTCCCATCCCAGTAGATAGAGCTGCACCTCTTCTATCACCTACTCACCCCCAGACCTTTCATTTGGCTCACGTGTGAATGCAGCTGGTGTGTTTACCAAGTTCCACGCACCATGCAGACCACTGCAGGGAGACTCAGCAAGCAGGGCACTCAATGCCCAAGTGGTCACTGTCTTCATGTAGGACCAGTCAGTCCAAGGAAGAATCCAGGCAGACTCTTCAAAATTAATTTCAATCCCCGAGGCCCCCATCTGGTCGGCCGGCTACCGAGAAGGTGCACCAATCAGGTGGGCCTGGGCTTGACGCTGGAGGGGAGAAAGATGCATCATATGCAGAAATGAGGAGAAAAGAATCCCAAGTTTCAAAATAGACTATGTAGCTCCCAATCCCTGTGACTTGATCTTTCCCCAAGAGATGGCCTAGAAGTAACCCTTTTCTACGGACAGCCACAGTCAGTGAACAAACTCCTTACTGAAGTGTATGGAGCAGGAGGGGATGGTGACAGGTCTTTGTCGAGGTGATTTTTTAAAAATCCATCCCACCTCTGAGTGATATGGACAGCCTGAGGATGACAAAGGCTGTGAAATGGGCATTGAATACCTTGGCTATTGGCCCATTGTTGGGCAGTCTTTCCAACAAGAGCACCATTGTTAGCCTGTAAATGGTCCAGAATGTCCCAAACGGGCAGTTTAATTTCAAGGGCCACAGTGGCGTGGCAGGAGTTGGCTTCCTGGACTGCAACAGCAGCCCCACAGCCTGAAAAAACACGGTGGTGAGACGCCACTGGCCGGCCAAGCGGGGGCCACAGGTCTGACGGAGTCCATCAGCCAGGAGCGAGTGGACCACGGGGCCTCCCAACCCATGAGACAAACGGGACACGTGTTGGCAGAAGTGAGTCAGCATGACAACTTCTGCATGGGAAACATGAAAGGACACTGTATGAAAACCTAAAGTTTGGGGCACCTGGGTGGCTCAGTCGTTAAGCGTCTGCCTTTAGCTCAGGTCATGATCCCAGGGTCCTGGGATTGAGCCCCGCATCCGGGGGCTGGGCGGGGGGGAGCCTGCTTCTCCCTCTCCCACTCCCCCTGCTTGTGTTCCCTCTCTTGCTGTGTCTCTGTCAAACAAATAAATAAAATTAAAAAAAAAAAAGGAAAACCTAAAGTTCAACTGGTCTTGATGGTGTTAAGAGAATTCACTCGATGATCTTCCTACTGCAGAATTACTTTAAAGTGATTCCCAACAGTTTCTTTTAAAATCCAGGGCGCCTGGGTGGCTCAGTTGGTTAAGCCACTGCCTTCGGCTCAGGTCATGATCCTGGAGTCCCGGGATCGAGTCCCGCATCGGGCTCCCTGCTCGGCGGGGAGTCTGCTTCTCCCCCTGACCCTCCCCCCTCTCATGTGCTTTCTCTCTCTCATTCTCTCTCTCTCAAATAAATAAAATCTTTAAAAAAAAAAAAAAAAAATCCAAACACAGGGGCGCCTGGCTGGCTCAGTGAGTGGAGCATGCGACTCTTGATTTTGGGGTTGTTGAGTTTGAGCCCCTCATTGGGTGTAGAGATTACTTAACAAAATCTTTAAAAATAAATAAAGAGGGGCACCTGAGTGGCTTAGTCAGTTAAGCGTCTGCCTTCGGCTCAGGTCATGATCCCAGGGTCCTGGGATCGAGCCCCACGTCAGAGCTCCCTGCTCAGTGGGGAGTCTGCTTCTCCCTCTCCCTCTGCCCTGCCCCTTGTGCTCTCTCTCTCAAATAAATAAAATCTTAAAAAAAAAAAAAAAATCCACTTTTTATCTTTCACATGACTAAGTTATGGAGAGACAAGCCTTGCTTGAGTAGGTGGAGAAAGGCCCCCTGCTCAGCCAGAGGCATCACTGGGCTCAAGGTCCCCTGTAGGGAGCTTGAGGGTGGCTCATGCGGTGGCAGGCTGGGTGTAGAGGAGAGCTGCCAGCTACTGAGGAGGAATAAGGAGACAAGCAGGTAGGCAGAGGTGGACACCAGCCCCCTGAAGGAGGCCCCCTTACTGAGCACTTCCCTTGGGTGATCTATGATCTCACATAACCCTCACACCCACCCAGAGTACAGGTGAGGAAACTGGAGGTTCAAAGGAGTTGAGTGACCAGCTCACTGCTGCACACCGAGAATGGTGGGTGGAGAGTCTCTTCCCAACGCTTCCTTCTCTGGACCACAGGCTCTCCCAGAGCTGGGTCCCTATCTATCTGGATACAGCAGGCAGGTTTCATTTTCTCACCATCATCTCTGAGGCTAGACTGCCAGGCTGCCTAGAAGGCTTGGCAGGGACAGGGCCAGAATCCCTGAGCAACGTCTCCACAAATGAGGAAGCCTACAAAGAAGGACTTGAGGTATTTGCCCAACTTGCCTCTGGAATAGATTTCTAAGCCCTATGGGGTGCAAGTCTCTCCCCCAGTGCGCAGAATGTGACCTTTTTTGGCCTGAGGGGATTTCTAAGAAGGGTGGAAGGGAAGGAGGCCTTGCCCAGCTTCCTGAGTGGAAGTGGAGGCCCCAGGACGCCTGCCTGACCCCATGGGTTCCCCCAAAGCTGCTCCATGTTCATGACTACATGTGTGGACAGGGAGGAAGAAAGGAAGAGCCTCGAGAGTCTAGAGGCAAGAAGGGAACACCCACAGGTAGGCAGCAGAATTGGGGCCAAGCCTGGAGGCTGAATTCAGCCAGATGGTACCCTGTCCCCATTTCACTGCAAAAGCACGTGGAGACCCGAGAGAGACGGCAGAGCCTTGGGGAAAGATGAAAATCATGGATGCCAAAGTGATTTTGGTCAAAGCCACTCCAGTCTCAGGAAGGTCTTGGTCTTCCCCTAGACAGGATGCATCCTCACTCCAAGCCTCCTGTGCCCTCAAAGGCAGTGTTTCAAGGTGTGGATTAGTCTGTAGTGGGTCATTATTTAAAAAACAACAACAAAGGGCGCCTGGGTGGCTCAGTCGGTTAAGCGACTGCCTTCGGCTCAGGTCGTGATCCTGGAGTCCCGGGATCGAGTCCCGCATCGGGCTCCCTGCTCAGCAGGGAGTCTGCTTCTCCCTCTGACCCTCCTCCCTCTCATGCTGTCTCTCATTCTCTCTCTCGCAAATAAATAAAAAAATCTAAAAAAAAACACACAACAACAAAAACAAAACAAAGAAAAACAAAAACCAATTGAGTGGGGTATGTCTAGAATTTTTCAAAAGTGACATAGAAGAAGGAAATGCCAGAGATTACCACAGGTGGTAAGGCTAAGTGTTGTTTGGTGAAATTTTATGGGCACCCAGTTGCAATGTAAGATGTATTTCATTCAAAAAGATTTGAAAGATGAAATTTTTTTAAGGAGTCCATTTCTAGAACGGGACATTTCACAGTGTTGTTCTGTGTTAATTTTGGTAGAGTTTAAATCAGCAATCCCATAAAGAAAGCAAGCACTTGCTGAAATTTATTTTAAAAGGCCCTTTTTATTAAACTTGTACATTTTCTTCTCTTCCTTTCAGAATCCTAATAAAAAAAGGCTTGTTTCTGCTTACTAAAAAAACAAAACAAAAAACAAAAACACACAAATAAAGGAAACTATTAAGACATTACTTTTGTGATGGGAAAGGACACTACAGGATTATTGAATCTAAGCCAAGAAAACTAAGACCTGGAGCAAAGAACTAAACTGAAGAGCAGCCAACTCTGATCTGGCGCCAGACCACCTGCAGTGTGAGGCAGAGCCCTCCTCAAAGAGGGTTCCCAACACAAACCCAGCCAGGAGAGCAGGAAGCAGCCCTCTTACCTTCTGGAGTAACAAACAGACCCGAAGCCCTAATGATCGCACAAATACAAACCAATCACTCTACTTTAAAAAGCACACACACACGCTACACTGGTCTCCCCTCCCATCCCAGGTGCTTGTCATCCGCAGGGAAGCCTGAGGAAGGGCGGCCTCTGGCTCGCAGGGCCTTCACAGGACGTAGGTGTTCTTCACCAGGTGCTCCTTGTCGTCCCCAGAGCTCCAGACGGTGCTGAGCGTGCGCTCCTGGTTCCTCCGGGCCACCCGGATCAGGCAGACCACGGAGGCGCCCAGCAAGACGATCAGGACCATCACGAAGAGCCCCGCCAGGACCACCACTGTGGAGGAGAGAAAGGCTTCAGAACCGGAAGGACGAGGAGCAGAGCCAGTGCAGGGCCGCACAGGGCTCACACGGGACTCATGCAGGTGGGCTCAGGGCGGGGACCAGCAGCCCTTGCGCCAGACCTCCCCTGACCCCAGCCTGGGAGGGTCTGGAGAACGGGCACCCGCCCGCCTGGGAAGTCATCGAGGAGTCTACAGTCCCGAGCAGCAGGTTCCGGAGAAAAGGAGGCGCTGCGCTACGTGCACCCAGTGGCTCTCTGTGTTCTTTCTGAAAAAGAATCCCACTTCCACTGTGCATTTCCACGTCTCAGGGGCAACTGGTGCAGGAGTCCCAAGCCACCAAATGGGTACCAGGACGTAAAAAGCACACACCTCTGGCGTGCGTAAACATAAAACCCCAAGGTTGTGTGGTCATACAGCACACTGACCAGCCGGAGAAGGATGCGGCCGGCAGTGGCCGGGGCGGCTGCGTGCCGAATGAGGTGAGGGCAGAGGCAAGGGCGCGTTCAGAGCGGCGCCGGGAGGGGACCCTCATGCTCCTCACTGCCCGGTAAACTGAACAGTGGTTGCCCCACCGCTGTCTCCCTGGTCAGCCAAGGCGCTTTCCTTCAGGCGGGGCTCCAGCTGAAGAATGTGGCCTCCCACGGCAGCTGCCTGGCTCCCTCTCCCCATGTGGCTAGAGGACGGACAGGGGCAGCCCCTTCTCCACCCGCAACCCTCCATACCCGGGCTGCGTTCTGCCCCGTGCCGGGCAACCCAGATTCTAGCTTCACTGCTCTAAAACACAGCAGACACGCAGGCCGGCTCTGGGCTCCTGAACAGGAAAACAGGTGGAAAGAGGCCAGACCAGTGTGGCCAGTCCTTTGTGCAAACACGATCATCCATGCCTCAGGCTCGGAATCCGAAACAAAAGTGAGAGGAGGCCCGGGGTCTTGTCAGACCAGCCTGCTTGGGGACGACAGCACTGGGCCTGCCTCGCCCGGCCCACACACAGCAAGGGCTCTCCAACTTCCTGTCACCGTGACCAACTCAGCACACCCCAAGGCAGCAAAGTTCCCTCCAAATCTGGAGCCAGTCTCAGGCCTGTGTGCAGCAGACCCCACAAGCCTAACAGCAGAACTCGTCCTCCAGTCACCCCAGGGTGCCCAGGTGGAGACTGCCTCCCTCCAGCCCCATTACACTGCATGGGGGGACAAACATCCACCGTATGTCCCAAGCTGTCTGACCACTCACGTGCAGAAACAGGACTTTCAACCCAAAAGATGTTTACGGTCAAGGATTATGTGTCAGAGACCACATGAGCCTATAAAAACACTGCAGAGCTTAGTCAAGGAAGGCGGGTGGAGGAGGGCCAGAGGCCTCTTACCTTTAGTGCCACGGGGTAGAACAGGATACAACTGCTTGCCTGAAAAAGAACACACAACCCTAAGGTCAGCTCACAGTCCTCCTGCCCTCCAGAGCTGCCAGCAACTAGGTGTTCACAAGAGGCTCTTTCTGAGGGACTTCTTCCAGCTCTTTTGAGGGTTCTGAGGCCTTGCCACCCTGGTGGGAACCTAGGACACGTCTGTGCAACAGCTGGGTCCAAAGCCTCCCTCTTCCCCACAAGGGAGCCAGAGAATGGTAGCGTCCAAATGACAGCATTGCCAAGGTCTTCCTTTTAGGGATGGGGAAATGGACCCATCCCACGGTCCTCACAAGAGGCCTCACCCACCCACCCACCATTGTTTCTTGCATTTAGGAATCAGGCAGGCTCACCAAAGCAGTGGTGCATGCACTCCTCCTTAGAGAGATAGCTGTTTTTATTGCCCCGGCACCCTCCGTAGATGAAGTTGTCACAAGAGTTCTTCTCCGCATTGAAGTACCAGCGTGGGAAGGACGCGCGGCAAGGCCCAGTGACTGCTTTGGCAGTGCAGTATTCTGGGAACAACACAACCCAAGGAGGACAAATTAGCAGGGCTCTGCTAGAGGGGCCTGTAAATACAGACGTGGCCAGTCGGGCCCACTGGACACTCCTCCATGTTTTGGGGTATCTTCCTCCTTACAGCCAGACCCCACTGGTAAGGAGATCACTCCATGTCAGGCCCTGTTCTAGGCCCTTCACGCGTACTGACTTGGTCTCTAAGAGATCTGTCGTGGGTCCCTCGTTTCATCCTCAGGAGGCAGAGCCCCCCAGCCGGGGAGAGGCAGGAGCCAGCATACCACACGGCCTCCCGCTGGGAAGTGTCCCCACCCACGGCTGTGCCACACGCGCTTCCTGCAGCCCTGGGGCGTGCCTGTGAGTTCCACCACCTGTGGAAGGTCGGGAAGCTCCGCGCTCAGCCTTCCTTAGTGGAAATACTCAGGTGTGTCTCAGCTCCCAACTAAGGAAGAAAACATGTTTTTCCCATAATTTTTTTTTTTTTTTAAGATTTTATCCATTTATTAGACAGAGAGAGACACAGTGAGAGAGGGAACACAAGCAGGGGGAGTGGGAGAGGGAGAAGCAGGTCTCCCATTGAGCAGGGAACCCGACGCGGGGCTCGACCCCAGGACCCTGGGATCATGACCTGAGCCGGAGGCAGACACCCAATGACTGAGCCACCCAGGCACCCCCCCCCATACATATATATTTTTAAAAAGTTATACCTTCGTAGTCGAAAATATCACTGGAGAGGTCATCAGAATCCTGTTTTCTGGAAACTAAAACAGAAACATCCAAGTCAGGGAGGCTAGGATGGACACAGTACACACAGCCTGGCTGGAGCAGAGACCAACAGGGCCCACTGAGGGAGCAAGGACCCGCCGGCACCTAGGAGTGGAGTCCCTTCCAAGGGTAGGCCTGTCGCCTCCCAGTCCTCAAGGGCTCTATCATAAACTGGAATGCATGCTGGATGGTGAGGCCTGCCTGTCACCTCAGGGGTCACTACGGAAACTCATCCCAGCCACAATTTCTGGGGTGATGAGGAAGATGGTCTTGCTCATTCTCTGACATAGTGAGAAGGCCCCTCACTCTCCTGGAGGTATTTTCTTCTAAAACAGAGATAACATGCCAGTGCCTGAGGATTCTAGATGACCTTGGAGGCCAGCTTAGGAATAAAGAGTGAACCTAGGCAAAGCAGTGGTCAGGACAGTCGCAGGATTCCTGGCCCAGCAAAACTGGAAAGTGACTCTAACGAGCCAGCCAACCACTGAATAAACGCTCACTCTCACGTGAGCACTGATGTCAGAACTAGAGGACCAAAGCCAAGGCTGCAATCAGTGCAGAGCCACTGGCCAACTGGGGGGCTGCCCTCAAATGGGATGGGGGCAGAGTCCCTCCTCCACAGCAGGTCTTGCCCAACAGAGCCCACTGCCTGGGAACTGGCCTTCAAGAAAGCTGGGCTGGACTTGCCAGTGCATCTGGACCACTCACCCCAGGCTCCTGATGCATGCAGAATCCTCCAAGCATGTAGGAGGAAGGGGGCAGCTACTGTCAGCACTACAAAGCAAGTTAACACAAAGCTCGAGATCAAGGACTGCAGTGGGAATGGAGGCGGGGGTGGCAGAAGACAGAGGACTCAGCACAGGGAGGGGGACGGCAAGGACAACCGAGAACCAAGGAGACAGAAGAGGCAAGGAGAGGTGGGGTGGGCCAGTGAGAGCACAGCAGGCAGAGGCCAGGGGACTTGAGGCCAGCCCAGGGAGAAGGAAGGAGCCTGCGCTGCAGGCCACAGCAACATCCACAATGCCTTGTCCCCCAGGAGGAAGCGGAGGCGAGCCCGGAAGCACTGTAGCATCCCTCGGCCCTCTCGTCCGCTGGACAACGTGAACTCCCCAGTGTAAGGATGCCAGCCAGGAGCCGGAAGCTGGCAGCCCAGGCAGAGCCCCGGCTTGTCAATTCGGAATAAACAGACCGGGAGGTGGGAGCCCTTATACGACTCCCAAATCACACATGTCCTTTCATGGTCCAGATGGCCCTCACTCCACCTCGGTGGTTTTAAGAACCTACCACGTGGGACAGAGAAATCTGCTCCATTCCTGCTGGTGGCCAGATCATCAATGGTGTTCTCTACAAGAGGACAGACGACACAGTGAGAAAGTGCACCTCAGGAACGCCCCATGACATACAGCGAGCAGAGTTCCCAAGCAGCCGTGGTCCCACATGCCTCTCACGGTGACTCCTATTTCTCCTTTTGTGGTGGGCCCTTCGATGTACGTGCCGGACCACAAGCCTGCTGGAACTTGGAAATAAGGAACCAAGACTGCCCCTGTGGGTTAAACTTTAAGATCCCTCGCTGGTAATCAGATCAAAGATGTCTGAAATGACTTTAAAAAGACAGAATGGCTTCCAAGGCCAAATAATCTGTTTAACTGTATTAACTCACCCCATGAATTTAAAAAGGTATGCAGCAGTCTCAGCATACTCGAGGCCGCCGAGCTGTGGCGACCTGTGCAGCTATGTAGAGTTTATCTCACACGTGCACACAGAGTGATGGCGCGGGGCAGAGAGGCCCGCTGGTTAGGGAAGTAGGAAAAAGGAAGCACCGGCAGGGTCCAGGAAGGACAGGAGTTGGCCACCCTGCCTCCCCGCTGGTCCCAGCAGAGCCGGGGCAGAGGCACGGGGCCGGCATCACCTGATGCCATCAAACATCCACATCACAAACCAGCGCGCCTTGTTCTGCACCTCTCCACAGCAAGCGATCTTCTGGGAGTCCGGCGGAGAGGCTCGCCCACATGGACTAACACCACAGCAGACTCCGAGACCCGAGTGTCTGGTCCCCCGGGTAGTTCTGGTTCTCATTATAAATTAATACACTGACATTCTCATTCGGCTTCCCACCGAGGATGCCTGCTTGGCAGAGGATATGCTGGCGGAAGGCTCCAGCAGCGAGCTGCTCTGGCAGTGTTAGCTCTCCTCCCAGACTCGGGAGAGACGCTTCAACCAGACTCAGTGGAGCCACACTCAGCTGCCAACAAACAAGCTTTCTGGGCCCTCAGACTCTGGACCACCTGTAGGGAGACAGCTGTCTGCCTTCTCCCAGCGAAACTCAAGAACCCGTGACCCTTTGTAGCAACATCCTGTCTGAATGCCCACTGTTCACTGCTTGTGTTCTTACAATTTCAACTGTTTTCCTAAAAAATAAGGAGAAACTCAAACAGGCAGGCACACGTGCCACAGCTGACTCTTAGTGGAGGAAGGACAGAAAAGGTAGCAAAAAAATGTTTCCCTTTAATTCCTGCTCCCATGCCGGATCATAGCGGACAACAAAAAAAGTACAATAAATGGTATTTTCCTCAGTCACCATCTGGTACGGTTGCCAGTTGCCCCCCAAAAGGTGAGGGACTTGCCTGTATGATCCCAAAACAGTGCCCAGCCTGTTCCCTGCTCGGCGGGAAGCCTGCTTCTCCCTCTCCCACTCCCCCTGCTTGGGTTCCCTCTCTCGCTGTGTCTCTCTCTGTCAAATAAATAAGTAAAATCTTTAAAAAAAAATAAAAACATCCCCCAGGATCTCCTGGGTGGCTCAGTCATCAAGCATCTGCCCTCCGCTCGGGTCATGATCCCGGGGTCCTGGGATCGAGCCCCGCATCGGGCTCCCTGCTTGGCGGGAGATCTGCTTCTCCCTCTCCCACTCCCCCTGCTTGTGTTCCCTCTCTCGCTGTGTCTCTGTCAAATAAATAAAATCTTTAAAAAAAAAAAAAAAAGTCCCCCAGGTTCAGCCGTGAAGAATGGGCACAATTCAAAAGGCATCACATCCCAGTTAATAAACTGTCTCTAGGTTACACCATTTCCCCAGGGACCAATGTCTTACCTGTGACACCAGCACATTTCTCAAGACACTCCTCCTTGGTCATGTAGTTATTTTTATTCCCTTCACAGCCACCATACACAAACTGCTGGCAGGATCCATCAGTGACATTGTACCACCATCTAGGGGAGGAGGCTTGGCATCTTCCCTCTGTCTTCGGAACTCGACAGAAGTCTAAAACACAAAGCAGAGACCAGTTGGCTTGGCAGGGCAATCCTGCCAACAGAGAAGACACACAGACCCATCAGAGGAGGCCCACAGTTTTCCCGAGCCCCAAGATCCAGCATAGCTTCTCTGTGAGCCGTTTCTAAAGTGCTGCCACCAGGCTTAGTGATGCCTTCCTTGTTTAGGAAAGGAACACATCATCTAACAAAGATACCAACCCACCCAACTTAACTGTATTTCAGTTGCATGTTGATTCTGTCCCTGCCCCCATTTATTAAAGACGGACACCATTCAGTGTAGAAATATGGCTTTCAAAGGCAAAAAACACGGCTGACTCCAAGGGGGAGCCTCGCATTGAAGGATGTGTCTTAACCTTCCTTATCCACTGTTTGACCAGGTCAACCACTTCACACTCAAATTTCCGCAAGAGCCTCAGAAAGAAGGTCCTAACTCTAGTCCTCCCGCTTCCCAAGGCAGCTGAGGGCACTCCTCCGCTCCAGTACTTGTAACGGCCACATCCGAACATTCCAAGTGGGGCCTGGGTTTCAAGGTGCCCCCAATTGTGACCCTCCTCTAGTACAAGGGAAACAAAAATGTTATGAAATACCAGCCAGCTACATTTGCCTCCAAAAGGCCTAGATAGCTGCTGTCTCTTAAGAAGGTAGAGATAAGCAAGTGCTGGAGGTACCACCTGCACCAAAATAAGACTTTCTCCTGGAGGAATCAGGAGGATGGAAAGCAAGCTGAAAAGGGAGTGACCTGACAATGTGATTCAACGTCTGCCCTAGCACCCTATAATCTTCCTGGGATCCTGAGTCCGCATCACCTCCCTTACCTTCCCTGGCCTCCACCCACCTCTGTCTTCTGGCATGAGGGCATTCCAATCTGAGCAGGGTGCTCAATAAACATCTCAAATAAAAGTATCCCAGGGCCCAACACTTGGTTATATGCTGTCATTTACTCCTGATTATTTTCATGTTTGTTAGGTTTACTTCACTAACTAGGGGACAGCTTTCGAAAGCAGAGGGCAAGACCTCGTTTCTCCTAAAATATGTCACAATAATGGGCATGAAACCAAATGTTCCACAAAACATTGATCTATGGACAAAAAGGCTTGTAGTACTGAGCAAAACCTCAAGGTACTCTCATACACACCGATAAATCACAGGTAACTAGTGCAGCGGAAAAAGCATATTCTGAAGTAAGAAATTTTCTGTTAATTTGAAAGCAACCATCCTTTAAATCACCAATTAAAAAGTACCTTAACTGGATACTTCATATGAAAAGAATCATTTAATATGTCCAGAAAAGGCAAATCAAGAGAGACAGGAAGTAGATTACTGTTTGCCTGGTGCTGGGGTGGGGTGGGGGGGGCTGTTGGGGGATGGTAAGGACTGCAAATGGGCACAGGGATTTTTGGGGATGATGGAAATATTCTAAAATTAGATTGTGGGGATGGTTGTACAACTCTGTAAATGTACTAAAAATCACTGGATTGTATGCTGATTTTATGGTATGTAAATACTTTAATTAAGCAGTTTAAGAAAAAATAGGGGCACCTCCTGTCCATAACACATTAACCAGAATCAGCTGGGTGTGCACCTGTTGCAGGTACTTTTGACAACGTGCCAAAGGTCACAAAACATATACAATCAACAAGGCCCAAGGAAAACACCGTAGGAAAAGAGTTCTCTTGGTGTATGATGTGCTCAATGGCAGCTGTCAAATGTCTGAGGCAGCACTGCTATTGACAAGACAAGATGGAGAAGAGCCTCACAGGAACCACATATGACCCACAAGTGAAAACGACCTCAAGGCGGGGAGGACCCAACTGCTACAGAGGTGAACACCCTATCCAGTGCCCTGCCAATCACTCCGACTGCTTGGTGTCCTTGCTTCCTGAGCAGTTTCAGGGACAGTCTTTCAGACAAAGAATCCGAGACAGGAACTGCACCCTTTAAATGGGTGAACTGTATCACAGGTGAACTGCATCTCAAAACAAAAACCTGAGAGAATGCCGAACAAAGCTCGAAGCAGCTAAGATGGGAACCTCCAGACACCACAGCAGAGAATGCGACGGGCTGACCACCTACCTCGTCAAGGGTGGAAATGTGGTAGCTTTTCCTGAGCAAGGGTGCCGGGTACACGCTCGGTGCAGGTGAAGAAGGGGCTGAGAGTATATAATGAAGAGAAGACCCTATCCAGGGCTGGAGAGCAGCGATCTTAGCTAAGTCACACTGCCCAGAATCTGGCCCTCATCCCTGTCAGCTCAGACACTTGCGGTGCCCCAGCTGACGAGACGCAGGGATGCGGGTGCTTGCTGGCAGAGGGCACAGGAGGATACTGAGAAACACCGGCCAAGCGTGTTGATGTACACATCAATCAACACACCACCTCAGAAAGCAGGCCGAAATGGAGCAGGTCCCTTGGAGTCAGAATAAGGAAAAGTTTGCTGCAAGACTCCCATGAACACCCTGCTCCGTCAGATCTACCAGGCAGCCCAGAGGCGCACAGCAGACGACTCAGGACACACCTCAGTCAAGATACCACAGTCAAGGTGTGCCTCTGGGATACCTCCTTTCCTGACTGATGCCTCTTCCTGACTGGAACATTCTTCCTGTAGATGTGATGGTCTCTTCGCAACAAATCCTGAGGGCCGGGGAGGCCACTATGTCCCAGAGAGTAGCTCTCACCTGCTCTTAATGATGACACATTGACTTCGTAGTTTAAGTTTCAGAAAACAGCCTTATTTTTAAGTTCCCTGGGTGGGGTAGGAGGGGATGGAGGGTGGGGAACCTTCACTTTTGTCCCAGGGGAATTTAGAAATGTCTTTTTTTTTTTTTAGTAGGCTCCACACCCAATGTGGGGCCCAGCATGGGGCTTGAACTCACCACCCTGAGATCAAGACCTGAGTTGAGATCAAGAGTCGGATGCTTAACTGACTGAGCCACCCAGGCGCCCCTAGAAACGTCTCTTTATTAAGAGAAAACTTGGACTAAAAACATAGTTATGTCTGTAAAGACAGAATGTTGACAGTTGCTGAAGCTGAGTGATGGTCCATGTGGGCTCACAGAACTGTGTGTATATTTGAAAATTTCTGTAATAAAGACAGAAAAAAAAATCTTACTTTTTTTTTTGTTTTACACAAATTTGATTAGAGTAAAAGTAAGAGCTCCAAGTAGCAGAAAAATTGCCTGAAGCTAGGTTCCATCAAGGTGAAATTTAACCATGTGTCAGAGTCCTTTCTGCGAGTCTAGAAGCTCCCTGTCAAGTGGAGAAAATTCTCACTTTGCCCCATGCTTTTACTAACTAAATTGCTTTTAAGCCTCTATGAGAGAAATTGTTACTGTCTAGGCTTAAGAAGTGAACTCAAGGGGCGCCTGGGTGGCTCAGTAGTTAAGCATCTGCCTTAGGCTCAGGTCATGATCCCAGGGTCCTGGGATCGAGCCCCGCATCGGGCTCCCTGCTTCTCCCTCTCCCATTCCCCCCAGCTTGTGTTCCCTCTCTCGCTGTGTCTCTCTGTCAAATAAATAAATAAAATCTTAAAAAAAAAACACGTGAACTCATGAAAAAGCATCAGTGCACTCTCTTTCACTGTTCTCCACGTGGCTGGTACAAAAAGCCAGAAATACTTCAGGATGTAACATGGCCTCCATGACTTATCACCTTCTTTAAAGGGCTTTTTTTTTTTTTTCATTAAAGCACAGTACTTTGGGAGATCCAGATTAAAATAAAAATGAACCAAAGTGGGGGCACCTGGCTGGCACAGTCAATAGAGCATGTGACTCTTGATCTCAGGGTTGTAAGGTCAAGCCCCAAGTTTGGTGTAGAGATTCCTTAAAAATAAAATGTGAAGAGGGGCACCTGGGTGGCTCAGTCGTTAAGCGTCTGCCTTTGGCTCAGGTCATGGTCCCGGGGTCCTGGGATGGAGCCCCACATTGGGCTCCCTGCTCAGCGGGAAGCCTGCTTCTCCCTCTCCCACTACCCCCTGCTTGTGTTCCCTCTCTCGCTGTGTCTCTGTCAAATAAATAAATAAAATCTTCAAAAAAAAAAAAGAACCAAAATGCTGAGCATTACTTATTTCTTGAAACCCCTTCTGCTACCTTCACTAAAGCATTATGCTAGGCACATTATGTGCACTATTTCTAACAGTCACAATAAAACTGCGGAGCGGGTAGTAACACGCTCACTTTACAAATGAGGACACCGGAAAAGAAACAAAACTACAAAAAAAAAACAAATGAGGACACCGAGGCTAAGCTAACCAGAAGGAGAGCTGAATCTGAATTCACACTGGTCCGATGAGAGCTGGGCATTAACATAACCACCCCTCCCTCAGACAGACAGAAAGAAAAAGCCACACAACACGCAGTGGGAAAAACATGAAACCCAAGATGCCTAAAAGCCAAAACATTCCTCAGGGTCCTTAACACAGTCCGAGGGCTCAAAAGGCCAGGCCCTTTGCTGGGCCTGTTCATAGTCACACCCAATGACAGGGTCTCGGACCGCACCACACCAACTGGCCAAGGCTGAGGGGAACTTGGTAGGTCCAATTTTCAGGAAGTTATTCCTTAATAAATAATTCTATTACTATTAAGAGATGATAAAATGATATATTGGTTTTAGAACAGCATTGGAAAACAATCATGAGAAATACGTCTCTAGGGGCGCCTGGGTGGCTCAGTCGTTAAGCGTCTGCCTTCGGCTCAGGTCATGATCCCAGGGTCCTGGGACGGAGCCCCAGAGCCCAATGTCGGGCTCCTGCCTGTTTCTCCCTCTCCCACTCCCCCTACTTGTGTTCCCTCTCTCGCTGTGTCTCTCTCTGTCAAATAAATAAATAAAATCTTAAAAAAGAAAGAAAGAAAACTATGTCTCTAGTCCTATTTGCATGCTCACAAATGCTAGTGCAAAATGAAATACATCCTGTAAGTTTTCAATGCAGAGGAAAAACAGAGGAAAGCTGAGGAGCACAAAATTTGGAAATACTCGCTTCAGAGTATGTAAAAATG